TCCTCTCCTCTCCTCTCCTCTCCTCTCCTCTCCTCTCCTCTCCTCTCATCCTTTTGTGTAGAATCACAGAAGCACACAACATCCCAAGTGGAAGAGACCCATAAGGATCATTGAGTCCAATACCTCCTCAGCAGCAGCAGGGGCTGGGTTTTGAAGCACTCCTGCTCACTGAAGGATGTATGCAGGGTCAGCTGGGAAGATGCTAAGAGAAATCACATAGTTTTTTGCACTTTTTTTCCTGACAACTCAAATACTCCATAAAACACAACGCCACTTCCCACTCCCATCTATCTAGAAGCATCCCTTAATGTAGTGGCATAAACTTGATGCTGACATTCTCAGCTTCCCCTTTTTCACAGAATCACAGAATCACAGAATGGCCAGGGTTGGAAGGGACCTCAAGGATCATGAATCTCCAACCCTCTGCCACATGCAGGGCCACCAACCTCCACATTTAATACTGGACCAGGCTGCCCAGGGCCCCATCCAACCTGGCCTTGAACACCTCTTGAGACGGGGCATCCACAGCCTCTCTGGGCAGCTGTTCCAGCACCTCACCACTCCCCCTGAAGTTCTTTTATTTCTTAAAGGCTTTATAACAGGCTGACTAATTAATGTGCATTTTGCGAGGCCTAAGAATCCATGAGCATCCTCAGGAGTCTGAAGAGAAAGGTCATCCTGTCTATATCCAAGGCAGATCACCACTAGACAGGTAAGAAAATGCAAGAGTCCCTTGGCATTCTGAATACTTTATCTGCCTTCTTATATGCTCACAAATGGCTATTGTAAACCATGTTTTCTCTTCACCAAAAATACAAAACCAACAGAGATGCATGTTTCTCTGCTGATGCTGGTGATGCTGCAGGTCTAAGGAGGCTTTCTGGTTAGTGAGGGAGCTGCCCATATATTTTTGTGTACAGAGGAGCTGCTTGCAAGGCTCACTAATTAGAGGGAAAATATTTGATCTCCATAGGCTTTTGGTGAAATATCTGAGAAAGGCAGCAGATGTTGCTGAAATTATTTTTCATCTGTTTTCCCCTGTTTTCTTACCATGTTTCATCTGTTTTACCCTGTTTTCTTATGTGGTGCATCAAATTAAAATTCAATAAACTGCTCATGGCTGTTTACTGGGGAGTGCAAAAAACTTGCTCTAGATTAAAGCTGGTGCCTCATCCAGAGCAGAGTATGTGCACTCACCCCAGCATCCCTCTGCCTTCTGAAAGCCACAGATTACCCAGAGCCCTCAGCAAGGAGTTGTCAGACTACCCAAAATGTGTTGTAGCGCAGCTAGCCCATATTTCTTCATGGGGTCTGATGTCATCCTGGCAAGTACAGCATCTAGATGATATGGATTTGTAAGGATCTGCCTTGTATTACTCATTTTCCCAGTAGTTCAGCTCTCTGATAGCCAGAAAGCTTCTAATCAGGCTCCTCAATCCAAAAAGAAAACCAGCAGAGATGTAGGACAGTCTTGATGACCATCCACGACGTCTCGTGGAGGAACCTGACTTCTTCTGAGTGGCTTCAGGTGAGGGAATTTTGAAGACAAGAACCTGAATCCAGGTGTGATCTCTTCAGTTCTAAGAGGCTGGAGAGACTGAAAGCTGCATTTTGGAAGTTTTAGCCCTTGGACATGGTGTGTCCTACATCACGGGCAGCACCATTCAGAGAGCAACCACAGACCTGTCTCTCTGGAGAACCAGTCCAAGGATCCACAGAGAATCACTTACACAGACTGGACATCAAACGCTGTCTCAAATCCAAAACCACGTGGTTTTGGTTGTAGAGTCAAAGCAAGCATCTTTATGAGTTTGCTTGTCTTATTTCGACCCAAAATCATCTACAGGACACTGCATTCAGGCCCACTGGACAGGTCAGTTAATTATGTTGAGTGAGTCAATAGATGGATCAGTTTATCAAATGATAAATAGAGATTCTGCTTTCATCAGGGTAGTGAACATTAATTGATTTGACAGGCAGAAGCTTGGTAAAACAAGTAGAAGTTGCATCAGGGCATCACTGTATTAATTAGCCATGTTGAAGCTGCTTTTAGCTGCTTCCGAAGTTTAATCAATATGCTACATTTGAGTCCCAAAAGGCTTATGGAAACAGCCTTTGAAATCCTCTAAATTGCTGCCTCTGTGAGGTTTTAGACTCTTTACTTATTCTTGTTCTGCTGTTTTTCTTCCTTATTTTTTTCTCCCTCCTGCAATCAATAGTGACCCACAAGAATTGGTAGGGGTGGGTTTTCTTATTTGTATCACAAATTTGCATTGGCTAGGAACAGAAATGAAATGAGAAAGATCTTCTGTTTTAGTACAATAATAGTAATAATCCTGGACATTAATGAGCTGCCCTCTGTCTTCCAGTTTCTATATGCAGTAAATTACCTCTATAGACTTAATCTGATGTGAATGAGCAAGGCACCAGTTAAATCATGTTTTCCTGAGCCCTCGCATACTGCTCAGACTTTGATTTAATACAAAGTAAGGTTTGAGCTTGCTGATATGTTTTACTGAGCGGGAGGAAGGAGAAGGTGGAGCTGGAAACGAGGCCAGAGAATTAAAATGCAGAGAAGGGGATGGAGGCCCTGAGACTGCTGAGTGCAGGAGTGGTTGTCTAGGACTGCCCTGGTGGCATCCATGCCACTGGCCAGCTTTATGTGTGTATGGGAACTGCTGAGTCCCAGCCTGATTGAGCACCTGGGGAAAGCACGTGGGGAAAGCACCTGGGAGCACAGGTGAAGGCAATGCATCTGTGTGACTGGAAGTGGTGGAACCTCTCTTCGACCTCATTGAAGGGCTGACTGCCGCTGGGGAAGGATCTCTCTCTGGAGGTCCCTCCTTGGTGGAACTTTCCCATGCAAACCTGGAATCTTCTGATATGGGTGAGCAATCTTCTGCCTTTCTTTTACCTTTCTGCTGTGCTGCTCCTTCCATCATAACACCTTTCCCATTGTGTTGATCTGTCCAATTGCTACACCAGCTGAGGTTTTTGGTATATCTGCATGACATGAAGGATCAGAAAACCACCATCAGGGCTGCTGGTCACCACCCCCATATGAGCTGTAAACTTGCAGGGATCTGAAATACTTTTTCTAAATATGAGTTTCTGCCCTCATAATCATGGTGGCTTTTTGCTATTTAGACTTCTCATTCCTTTCTAAGACAAAATATCTTCAGATATGCCCACAGTGGGTTTCTAGCATGCTTCCCCCATGCCTTCAGCAATTCTGTGTGTGTACTGACTTCCTGAGGTCGCCACTGCAGATGCCACACCAGTGCAGTCAACACGGGAAGACCAACATTGCTTGAAACATTACTCAGGGCCCCAGCATAATTATAACAATTACAGAGTCAGGCCCTGAGCTGTGCTTTCTGACGCACACATCTGCCACGTGGGTTTCATTGCATGTGCAGATCCTGTCGTTAATAATGGAAGATACCCCAATCTCTCCAGGGGCAGCAGTCTTTGCTACGGGCAAGGTACTAAATCACACTTGAAGTTTCTAGGCCAAAATGTTTTACTTTTTATTTTAGAGGAATGAAGTTCCAAACAAGTGTGGGGTAAATTTCCAGGCCTGATTAATCTGGCTCACCTGGTGATATGGAGGAAGGGGAGCAGCCTTGTGGGAGGTGGAAGCAGGACCATCCTGTAGAGATGGCATAGAAATCACTAGGTGGAATTATTGTTTTTTTTAAAAAAAAAAGTCTTGAAGAGCACTCATGCATGCCACCACCCCCCAAATGCAGAGTTAACTCTTTCCATATCTGTTCAACCTACCAGCAGCATTTTTTTGAAGGTACCAGCAATTTCTTTGCTCACAGGCCCTGCCAACCTTCAGTCTTACAAGCGCCATGGGCTTTTGAGCCAGGAGAAGGCAAAAAGCCAATTTTAATTAGTGGTATTTTGCAAGCCTAGGTTGGCCAGTACCTGTTGAAGCAACCTTTGCTGCCTCAGTTAATCCCTGCCACAGTTGCAGCAGATGGAAGCTCCTCTAGAAGGTGACTTAAGGAGACTCTGTTGACATTCAGGCCTGCATGTCTTTCCCATTTAAGTGTCCCCTTGTCTTTCTCTTTCTTCTACACCTTTATCCAAAGGACCATGGATGTGACTGCAGTCTGCATGCTGTAGGGTGCGTCTCAGAGGGATCTTCATTCCTCCCACCTGTGATGCAGAGGTCCCAATTTTGAGCTATTCTACCCACCTCTTTCCATCACACAGATGTCCTCAGATCTGGTGACACAGCTAAATCCTCTTTCCGTGTGGGATGGCAGGTTGGGAAGCTGATCTGGATGCAACTTATGCATGCTGGGGGCTTCTCTGAAATTGTTGCACTTGTGAATGTGGGTACGGAACAGGCTGTGTAGAGTCAGGGCTCCCTCCTGGGCTGTGAACAATGGCAGCAACAAACATTAATAGCTTCTCCTGAATGAGCGAGTGTGAATGCTCAGAAGCCCAATTAGTCTGTGACTTCTACAGAGGCTTCCCACAGAGGAGGACAAAAACGTGGAGCGGGGCTGAATGGGGCAGAGGACAAGAACAGAACAAAAATTAATGTTCTGCAGCCAAGGGAGCCCCTTATTTGAGTCCCTGTGAGGCCCAGGACCTCAGGGAACCTGCAGGACTTTTGTGAAGGAGTCTGAGTCAGCTTGGTGGAGGTCCTGGCAGAAAGCCGAGGTGCAGAAGGGGCACACCAGCAGGTTGCCATTGCTTTGGAAGGCAATGCAGAAGGCACTGTGGTGAAGTGCTGCGTGGGCTTCAAGGGATCAGCCCTTCTCTTCTCACCTGGGCTTTGTTTGTGGGCTGCTGGAAAGACAGGGACAGTGTCTGGGACACCATAGCATGTGTGGAAATAAAGGAGAAATTTGAGCAGGAGGCACTGAAGGAAAGCCACTGGACTGCTGACCTTGTGCTCAGGCCATTTGGGTGGGGGCTCAAACCATGCTAATGGTTTCCAGCACTGCTGCCCCGAGCAATGGTGCTCAAACCTATCCCTGTGATTTCTTCCAGAGACCCTTGAAGTGCTTGGTGGTGTGCTGAGGAAGGTTCTTGGATCCCAAAGCAAGAAGCAAAGCCACTTGGTATGTGGGATATACTCCCTCTGTCATTCCAGTGATGTCACTCCCAGGAGCCTGATGTGATAGAGACCCTCCTTGTCTGTAGGGTTAGCCTTTCCTCTTCCACTCATCCCCATTCTCGAGGGTAAAAGGCCCTTTGCTGAATAGGAAAAAAATACAAGCCTCATGTCACTGATAGTTTTAAAATTATAATGGAAACCTTCCGTCAGTGGTGACACAATTACCTGCCCATTTTCCTGCTCCACCTCATTAAAAGGAAAATGTTACAATTAAGGCACGGGCGGGAGGAACAGATTAATGTTCTGTTTCTAATGCATTGATGAATTGGCACTTAGTCAAGGGGTTTAAAAATATTAAACCCTCACAAAAGCCATCCCAGAAGGGAATGCTATCTGCTGAGGGGCACTTCTTAGTGTGGACTGTTGGCTATCCATCATTCATGTTAAAGGGATGCAGTGGTGTTTGCAGTGGGAGTGGGATTTGCTTAGATTTGTCTGCTGGTGTTCTGTGGGGTGGCCACGTGCTCCACGGAAGATCTTCTCTAGGTGTTTCCCTTCACAGAAAATCAAATTCTTCTTCGGTTTGTTTGGTGTATTGTAGATATAATTGGACATCAGCTGCTGTTATTCTTGCTTTTCAATCCCTTTTCTTTCCTTTTGGCATGTCTTTGTTAGGCATGGCTTTGTTCCACCGCGTGCAAAATTGCTTCATTTTTTTTTAATCCTGCCTTCATACCAGATCCTTGCTACATGAAGGGAATACTGAGCCTGGCAGAGGCGTGAGCTGGGACATTGCCTTTCTCCAGCCCCAGATCCCATTTGCCTTTGGGAGCTCCCTGGCCCTCTATGGGAGCCACCCTGATGAGCAGCATGCACCTTTGATGCACTGCCTGCAGCTGTAAAGCTGCTCCAAAGGGGGTGTGAAAATCTATACCCACATTCTACACCCAATTCCGACATTATCTAACTCAATTTCAGAGCCTGTTCGTGGCCTTAAGCTGAGACTTGGGGCCCGCCATGCCCACATTTGCTACACCGCCAGCAAGTCTCAGCCCTCCTATAATGAAAATGTCACTAATGATAAATATTTATAGGGATGCTTATCTTTATATTTACTACCTTGACCTTTATCTATTTGGATTTTATTTTAAATTTTATGCGGCTTGCCTTTGCCTCTTCCCAGCCGTGTGTTGCCGCGGAGCAAGAAGCTCTGCAACGGCTCCGAGATCGCTGCTGCATTATAAATACGTGCACAATACATACAATTACAGAACTTTAATGTCTGGTATAATTACTGTCTGCAGTTTGCATTAATGCTCAGGGTGATATAGTGAAGCAAGGCGCTCAGACACTGCGAGATGCACGTCCCGAGGGGCAAAGGAAAATCATTGCTCGCGATCCTGCGATTAATTATTGTGCCTTGCGTGGAGAGGCTGAGATTCTTCCCAAGCACTTCTTGCACCCACGGTTGATTGAAATGCCTGCGCAGGAACGATGCTGCTGTGCATAGCCTGCAGCCAGGGCTGTGCTTCATAAGCAAGCAAAGGTCCTCAGTTTTATTCTTGTAGTGTTGCAAGGGAAAATTGAGGAAAACGGCAGGAATGAGGAGGAGAACATGAGTCGATGCATCTTAAAAAGTTGATGTGTGTTCACTTGCAGGAGGCTTCCCCCGTGCATCACCTGGCCCAGGACCCAGGAGGGTGTGCCAGGAGATGCTGGGAGCTCGCTCTGCTCCAGAGTTTATTATTGTGAAACTTAATTAATCGCTTAGCTGAATGAAATTATTGAATTATTGATGGAGTTCAGCAGATCCATGGGGGCAGCTGGATCAGAGCATCAGGGATGCTCCAGGCTGAGCTGCACAGGGCACCAACCTGTTGTAGCTCCATGGGATTTTTGAATTGGATGCCAGTGTTGCTGCCCACCACAAGAAATGGGCTGAAAACTAAAGGGCTTGGTCATTTGCAGCTTGTCCTTGCCGCCAGCGTGGGTGTTAGAGCAGTGCAAGTGCATATACATGTTGCTGACGTAGGGAAATCAACCACCTCAAATCACCCTCACACACAAAAAAAGAAAAAAACCTCACTAGGTCACTTGGTCACAGCGGCGTCAGATGTGAACCCTTATGGCTAAGTGTGCAATCACAGCAATTGAGTGGGTTCTGCACATCAGGGGCTGAGAGCTGATGGGAAGAAGGAAGGGGAGGAACCCTGGAAAATTCTGTGTTGTAGAAGGACAAGGATGGATGACAGGCTGCCTCCAGGTAAGGAGACATCCCAGTGCAGTGCTGGGAGGACTGAGGACCAGATTTAGCCAAGGAAGCCGTCAAGGAACAGAGCAGCTCCCATGGCCTTGTGGAGAAGGGAATTCCCAAGGGACAGGTGTCTGGAAGCCTTGGTTGAGTCCCATGGATGATTTTCTTCTGAGGAAGGGGGGGGGGGGGGGGAATTGAAGAAATAAGATAATTGGCTTGATTGGGCTTTGCTGAAAATCTAGAAAAAAGGGAAGAGAAAGTGCTGAGACAGCTCCTTTCTGTGTCTTTGAACTTTAGGCTTTGAAAAGAGGTGCGGAAAAGCTTAAGGAATTAACGAGGACTACTGGGAAATCACTCACCAGGAACTTTCAGTGCTCTCAATTCAGGAAAGAAATAGGAAGAAAATCCTTTATGTGTACGTATACATGCATCTATGCACTTAGATACATACGTAGCTGAGAGCATGATCCCTTCAGCCTGCCATTAATCTTCTTCCCCGATGTTTTCTTGCTGCATTAATGATGGGTGTTGTTGACAGGGTGGCTGGGAGGGTGAAAGCTGCATTTCCCTATGCCAAGGGCTGCAGAGGAGGCAGAGGCAGATACCTGGGGCTCCCTGGCAGCGCCTGTTGAAGATCAGCCTTGATCAGAATAGGTCTTCTCACAGGAAATATCAACTTTTTGTCAAAAAAAGCCTGAAGATAAATATTCCTGGATGAAATCCTATAAAAAGCTCAGACTGACAAACTATTTTTTTTCAGGCACTTCTTTTTCTCCCAACAAGAATATATCTGTCAAGAGAAACAGATGTTCTCTATGAAAAATCTTCTTTAATTACAAGTCTGTCAAAAGGAGGTGAGATAGATTTTTTTTCTTTTTTTTTCTTTTTCTTTTTTTTTTTTTTACTGAGCCCATTGAAGTGCATGCAATCGGCCAAGGTTGAAAGGCATGGCTCCTTCCAGAGTACAATAGCTAAATAATTTTCTCTGTTGAGCAGGTTGAACAGGAGCAAAGCCACTAGCCAAAACACAGTGACAAACCCGCAACCGGCAGCTGAAAGCTCCTTATCCAGAGCTCAGGACATCTGCACATCACACCAAATGTTGCATAATAAAAGAAGAATGTCTGAAATCTTACACTTTCAGGTGATTATTGAAAGCTTTCTTTTTTTCTTTCCTTCTCTCCATGCATCCAGTAAATACTTTAAAAGACATGTGGGCACTCGCTATCAGCCCTCAATTTGAGGCCAGCCTGCTCTGCAGGGGCCTTCAGACAATGGCAGTGGGGCGTAAATGTTAGAGGAGGTTCCTCTGGTGTTGTGTTGTCCCAGTGTTGGCACAATGTGTTATCCAGGAGAGCAAAGTTCTGCTGGAAATAGGAGCAGGACCACAAGGTTGATATTTCTTTATTTCTGGGTTCCAGAAACTGGCTACTACGTGGCTGAATAGTTGGATGAAAATAATCAATAGTTCTTGTCCACTAATGAATGATTTTCCAGCAGTTGCCAGTGTAAATAGGTTTCATTAAAACAGCAAATCCTCCCAAACAAGAAAATTAATGAGAGCTTATGAAACCTATGAAATTGCATGGGTCTGACAGTGATGACAAATCTCAACTATTGTTATTTTTGGTAAACAGATTTTCTTTTCAATTTTCAGCCTTGTCACTTAAATAATAATACTGAGCAAATCCCACTGTTTCTTTCCCAGAAATCTTCACGTGTCTCAAGCCTCAAATCTGTGAATGGTTTCAGCCCCAGGCAGGAAATTGCCCCTTTCCTGAGCAGCTCCTGTGCCCTTCTTCAGCTCTTGTCATCCCTGCAGCTGCACCGATAAACTGGGAATTTCTGGAGTTTAATTTTCAGATGAGCCCGCTTCAAATCAATGGAGCTGCTGCTTTTTGTGACTCCTGGGAAGGAGATGGCATGGAAACAACCCACAGCCATGCCCAAATAAGAAAACTAAAAGAATTATTGGTTTTGGTCAACCTGGAACATGGCTCTTTTTTTGCCCTGACATTTTCCTAGAGGAAAGTGAAACTCTTCATCTACAGATTCAAAAGAATCCCAAAGGCGCTCTGTCAGACATCTCCCAGCGTGCTCTCAGTTATTGCTGGATGGATCACAAGCTCTCCAGGGAGCAGTGAAGATGTTTTTGTGGGTTGCAAAACCCAGGTCAAAGCTCAAAGCTGAAAATACTTAATTCCAGTGTCTGCTTCTTGCTTCCAGAGGAGCTATCTGCTTGTTGTCTTTGTCTTCACCGTCTTCATCTTTGTCTTTGCTTTCTCTTTGTCTTCCTTCTCTTTTTTTTTCTCTCTCTCCTCGTCCTTTTCCTCCTTCCTCCAGCTCATAAATCCCCACCTCCCCTCCTTTCCTTCTCCCCTTCATGCATTGCATGCTGAATGCAGGAGGCTCTCAAAGGCAAGAGCAGGCTTGGGACACTCTTACCCACAACAGCAGCGGTGAACAGAACCCAGGTTTTCAGCCAGGAAATTGCACTGGTAATCTCCTTTGAGGGAGGCACTCCCATTTTTCATGATGGTTGGCCCTTGTGGGATATGGATGAAAAGAGAAAGCATTTCATTTGCTCTTTGAAAACTGGAGCTATAGATCAAGGTCCCGCTCGTTCCCCTGAAGACTAGAAATGGGATTTTTGCAAGAATTGAGGCTATCCTCTCTGAAAACTAAAACAGTTATCTACACTTTCATCGAGAGGTCAGCAGTAGAGACTTTTCTCAAACAGCTGGATAAATCCAGGCTGTTAGTGCCTCTCCTTCCCGCTCTCCTCTGTTATTGCTTTTCATTACATGAAGGGTGAGGAACAAGCAAATACCTCTGCTTCCCAGCTTTGCCCTTGCCTGTTTGTACAAAGCAGCCAAATATTTCCTTCTGACACTCAGGACCCAAGTACCTTTGGTGTCTATATTTTTTCCCTTGGATGCCATGGTCTGGATGCAGATGCCCAGGGCTGCTTAATCCTAGCAGATGGCATAGAAATGTTATTTTTCAGACACAGGCACTCCTCCATGGGTGCCACAGGACCAGGGCATCCTTTGTCACCTGGACCCAATGCAATCTCCTGCGACACTGGGCAGGAGGGTTTGCGGAGTCACGCTGCATCCTGTGTCCCTGAGCCTTGCAGCCATAAATCCTTTGCCTCTGCCATAGCTGTGATTGAGCCTGCCTGGCTTAATTCATTCCTCCAGAGCCCACACGGTTATGGCAGAGATGATTGCCTGCTCAAGGAGCAGCACTTGGGATGAAATCTTTTCCTCTTGAGAGTACTGCTGGAAAAACAAGGCAGCATCCATGAGCTGCCAGCATCCCTGTGTAGGCAGTGTCTTTCCTTGGCCACTTCTTTGCCGTGCTCTCATCCTTCCTGACCTCTCCCTTTCTCTCCTTTAAATCCTTTTCTCTTTGCTTCATTTCTGGGTATGTCTCTTCCTATTCAGTTTCCTCGCTAGGCGCTGGAGCTGATTGCAATGGTGACCCAGCAAATCACAGTAGTGATGCTGCTGATGGAATAACTCCTTGGGGTTCCGTGCAGTTGCTGTGTGGGCACTGAGTTTCAGACAGCAGAAAAGGAGCAGGAAAGTCTGATGTTTGGAAAGCTGCATCAACCGCAGCTTTCATCCCCACCTCGGGGAGATGGGTTTTGGAACCCCAGTAGTCTGCCCACCCTATGGACATAGCCAAATACCCCTAGTTCCTTCCCAAGCACTGCTACCCAGAGAGGTGCTCTGTCCTGGCTAAGGGAGCTGAGCACAAATAACTCACAAATAATGGAAATCTCCACCATGTGCCCCCAGCATTGGCACAGTTCAGAGCCCTGCGAGAAGTGCACTGCCTTGTTTGTCACCTGAAGCACTTGGAAAAATTACATGAATCCATCAAAGTAATGAATCTTCTCAGCAGTGGCAAATAGACAGAGACAGACAGGCACTCAGCTGAAACAAGTCATCTTTAAAAATTAATACAAAATAAACAGCTGGCCTTTCACTCCGCTTCCAGGTGGTGGCTGCGTGGTTTGGGCGAGGGCTGGGCAGAGACCAATGATGGTTCCCAATGGGAGCATGTCCCTGGGGCAGGGAAGTGTCCTCTGCTGGGTCCCTGTCACTGCCACAGTGTCACCTCCATCTTCTGCTGCTCCAGGAACGGTGGTGCAACACATTGGTGTTGCATGGTGTGAGTGACTGCTTAGGAAACAGCCAAATCTTTGTGAGTGCCAAAGCCTCATCACCTCCCTACAGCCTTGCCAGGCTCCTGCCAGCACTCTGGGCTCCCACATCGGTTTGTCAGTGTCTGATGGAGCTTGTACACTCCTCAGAGGACAGGTTGAGCTTGCTCTCCTGCTTGTCACAATATGGGCTCCATAAATAATTAACAGCAGTGCTGCTGCCGCCCCCGAGCTTTGATTTCATTACTGAGGAATAACATACCCACCTATACATGTGTGTATGTACATGTCTGCGTGTAATACACCTCCGTATGTACTTACATTGCTTAAACATCTGTTTCACCAGCCAGCCTCTCTGCTTTTCCTCTGGTCCCAAGGGCAGGTAAGCAGCAGAAGGCACTGCTCTCGACCACGAGCATCCCACCAGTGCTCCAGCTGCTCCTGCCCTGAGGCTGGGCTATTTACCAGGTACCAATGGGGCTGCCCTTGCCCTGCAGAGTGTGGGGATGGAGAGCGGGGAGGAAGACGGATGGATCCTGAATTGAGGTGAATTTATAGGGCTCCGTGATTCCTGCTGCCGTACGTCTCCAAGAAATGACACCGCCACTTCAGGAGCAGAGATTAATCTGAGTCGGCAGGAGAAGGACAAAACAAATCATCTACTGCAGGAATCTCATTTGATGCCTGTTAGTAAAAGCAGCGGGATGAATGGCTTTTGTAAAGACCGCGCCGAAGCGGGCTTTTTTTTTCCCCCCTCCCTTCTCTCCATTCGTCTGCAAATTGAGGTCTGTGAGGTGTGCGGTGGAGGCAGTCCCAGGGTCACTCACGGCCCAGGCACAGGACAAGGACCCCCAGCTTTGTGCACTGTGAGACAGGACAGCAAAAAAGGGAAGGCAGAGCTCCTAACGCTTCACTTTCTTTTTTTTTTTTTAAAAAAAGGGCATTAATTCTCACGTCCTGCAGAACACGGGGTGAGGGCAGCCTGCAGCCCCAGACAGAACATCCCAGCGATGCTCCGTATCCCAGCCAGCAGCAGCTGGATGCGGCCCAATGGCAGCAGTACCAGCACCAAGCACTCCTGCACGCCGCTGTGCATCCCAGCTCAATACAGAATCAATCCGATTGATCTTTTTTTTAAGGTGCAGCCTCCGAATGGCTGAGACTGTGAGAGACACAGCTAAGCATGCACTTCCACAAAATAATTTGTCAGGCCCCGCTGTAGAAACCTAATGATGGCTGTAATTTATTGCTGACAGACGATATTTATCACCGCAGCATCCCCTCTTTCTCTTTCTCTGTCTCGTTAGGAATGGCATCAATAATGTTTATTGTAGCTTTTAATTTTTTATCGCTGATATTCTTACCTGCGCTGCTGATGGCTGCAGGAGATGGGAAAGGCTTCAGAGCAGATGGAGGCTCAGCTCTGTGCTGAAGGGTGAGCGACAAAGGCTGGAAGTTCATCCTGCGTGCCCATGCAGGGAGAATGCAGTGCCAGAGAGCACCCCGATAACAGGGAAAAGCAAGCTGTTCCCATAAAGCTTATCCCCTCCCTACTGAGCCTCTGGACTTGTGCAAGGGATGCTCAGACCCAGCAAGGCAGTGGCATTGCTTTGGTTTTCCCCAGACTCTGCTCCCACGTGGGGCTGGAGAAGGAACATCATCCCTCCTCTGCTGCACCTGCATTGCTGTGATCATCACACCTGATGATGCCCCCAAGACCTGGGGTCACAAAGCTTGTCCCTGAAAACAGCCGAAACCCCAACTCCGATCTTGAAATCTCCTTTTTTTTCCCCTCGTTTTCCTACAGTTTTTCCTACCCTTGAGGAAATGTGCAGCACCAGGTTTTGATGCCCTATAAAACAGCACTTCCCAGAGGGGATTTTTTCACCCTTTCCAGACGTGAATAATTACCCAGGCAGCGGCTGTTCCAGCGTCGTTACAGGAGCCTCTCAGACTAGCTGGTCATTTACAGATTAGATAGATGTTGCCCACGTTGTTCATAACTGATTATGGGATTGGCAGTTTGGCTCTCACCCAAAATTCAGAGTCCTGATTTAGCATAATTGGAAGTGAATGGCAGAGCAGGCTGGGGGATGGGGATGGTGCCTGCTGCTGATTTTCTAATGCCGGCTTTGGGGATCCCTGACAAGCTGCAGTGTACTCTTTATAGGGCAATAACATTTATGGTGTGGGTTGTCCGGGGGAGGAACTCCTGTGATGGCAGCAGCCACCTCCTGCCTGTCCCAGATCGAAGCTGGAGAAATCAAGAATTCCAGAAGAGCAACGAGGATGATATTAAAAAGTAATCCCTTCTGTCTCAAGGTGTGGGCTTTTTTGCTTAAAGAAATTGTTCTTCTGCGTTGATCTATTCTACTTTGTGTTATCCTGTCCTTTTACTGACTTCCATTTCTTCCTTAGTTTATCCCACTAAATGTTGGGTTTCCCAGTGTTGACCCTTCACACACCCATAGCCTTCCTTGCACTTATTCTCACAACCTCTCTCTGCTGGAGGCTCCAAGAGCACAATGCAATCCAGCCATTTGCCCAAAGCAATAACAAATACCCACAGCAGGAACGACACCGAGCTCCTGCATCCTCCCCTGCCAACACTAGCCATGGAACACCAACAGTGCTGCTGGATCTGCTTGTCCTGCTTTTAGCCACCCATTAGCAAGTCCTGGGCAGGTGGCAGGTCTCGCTCTGCAGAATGCAAGCAGTGGGGCTGGAGAATTTCTGAGGGCATTTTGGGAGGGGGTGAGGACTCTTCTTGCCCCCAGTCCCCCCCACCCCTTTCTTCTGACCGCCATGCTTGCTCTAATGCTCTGGCAGAGCTCTGCTTCCTGGTCCTATGGCTTTGAGCTCATTTGTCAAACACAGTGATCTTCATGAAGGGTTGTTATTAGAGCATTTACTTCCCATTTCTCATCCTATGTTGTCATCGCCTTCCAAGATTAATTAAGGGAAGAAGACAGGACATCTTGCCTTCCATTGGTTTCCCCCTTCCCTACCTTTTGTACACCCCTTCATCTCCATTCCTGACCTGAGCACCGCTGGGGAGCAAATATGCAACACTCAATAGTTCCCTCTTCCCTCTTGTGGGTGATATATCAAGGTTTTTTTTTTCTTACCTCTTTGTAAG